GCACACAAAAATAAATTATGCCGTGACAGACATGGTTTGTGTACGTCGGCTTTTACCATGGCTTTGCCTGCAAAAAAGGTTTTTTAAAGCAAATGTGCCTGCGCACGCCGTGCGCATGTGCGCGGAAATATCGATGCCTGCAGTCCCGTGAACCTCCGATTTGGGCACAAAGCAGCGAGGCTTTTTAAATTCAACTAAATTGTTATTTTGTGTTTCTACAGTCAACATTTTTGGAGTAATTGGGTGTTATTTTGGAGTTATTGGGTAATTCGACGCAAATTGTTATTTTGAAGTTAGGCCTATTGGGTAATTCGACGCACTCAAGACGCGCCCTACGTTATCATAATCATGATGCATATATTTGAAATGAATTCCGGTGGTCTTTCAAATAAATACACTTACAGCACCTTCATCTGGTCTGTGGAGAGATCAAAATAGTTATTTGTTAATATTGTTATATTATAATGTATTATACACTTAAAATAAATTAGTTTTGTGGAAGGAATCAGAGATTTTCGAAGTGTATTCCGGTGAATTCCGGTGATTAGTCTACCCGATATTCAATTGTGCAATGGATCTTATTCAACCAGAGGTGATTTCAAACACATAGGCAAGTTTTTAATAACAATTATTCAGTAGTTTGTTCACAGTTGACGAAATCTGTTTATAATTTACCACGGTTCAGACAGTAGAATTTTCCTTTACATAGTACAGGCGTTCACAGGTACTGACACACGATCGTTTAGCAGTAAAGAGTTGCCCAGTAAAATTGACTGGGGTTCGAAAGTTTTTCGACAAGGATTCAATAGGGTGGGTCCTGAACGTACAGGGCGAGTGTAATGCACCCTACATTCAGAGCTGAACTAATTGAAAACTAGTCGGCTCCACGATAATCGTTGAAGTAAATTGACACCTTTCTTGACTTACTTAAGTTACTGAAGACCGTGTGTGCTTCACAATGAAAGACCAGTCAGATTACAATTCTATCAACTCTTACATTATCAAACATCTCACTTACTGTCTGAACCATCGTAAATTTTAAACAGATTTCTTCGATTATGATCAAACTATTTAACTTTGGTTACTATAAACTTACCTGTGTGTATGAAATCAACTCCCGTTAATTAAAATCCATTGCACAATTTAATATCCCAATGAATAAAAAAGTTCTCTCTTGAAAAAATTGAATTCCCACAAACTTTTGACATGGAGAAATACCAAAATGGAAGCCGATTACGTCACTCTTCGGGAGAGATCATTTTGTATAAAGGGGTTACAAGATGTCACAGTTTGCGGTACTTTTACGACAATTCAAGTTTTGTGTAATCCCGGCTCGGTATTGAGTTTGGTATTAACTGCCCGTATTCCTTTATTTTGTTACTACCTTTAACATTCTAGTAAAATCTCTGCAAAGTTTATAGCTTTTACCTTTTTGAAATATTTTGTTTTATTAATATTTTTGATTAGAGTCGGGTGAATGAATTTTCTTTTGAACACAAATACGACAAAAAAAATGACATTCGTTTTACAGGTCTTAAATTTTACCCATATGAATATCTTTAATCTGATATTTAACATGATAGATCTAACGTACATGTACAGGGTATTTAAAATTATGGGGCTATATGCATGTTCCTGAAGCAACGACTATGAGTTTTACAACATCTGATAAGATGTACGTAGTTAAAGCCAGATTAAGCCTTCTATTGAAGGTGGGGGCTATGGTGTGATTTAAGTATTATTTACAATAAATTAAAAAAAAAATAATTGATAAAGAATATATTTTCATCATGAACAATAAATATTGCACCATATCACAATACGGTCAAAACTGTAATCAGTTGATATTTTTCGTTGCCCAAACTCAAATGATCGAAATGAGGACGCTTTGTTTTGATTGCAACACGTGCTTGTCAAAATCTGTCATACCCTGCAACAGATTCAGTGGTTTCGTCCAACACGGGAGGAAAGCCATGTTGTCTTGAACTCAGTCAAAAATACAAGTAAATACGTCAATTTTTTCAAGAGAGAACTTTTTTATTTGTTGGGATATTAAATTGTGCAATGGATTTTATTTAACGGGAGTTGATTTCAAACACACAGGTAAGTTTACAATATCCAACGATAAGTAGTTTGATCATAATCGATGGATCACGTGGCTTAGTGGGTAAGACGCTGGCTCGCTAGCCTGGAGGTCGGGTGTTCGATCCCTGCATTGGGCGAGAAAGTTCATCCCGATTTTCCGGCGTGGTTTCACCTTGTCAGTGATGCAGGACGGAGGGCCTGACAAGGACAGCTGTCTAGTCGTTCGGATGGGACGAAAAACTGAGGTCCCGTGTACATATTGGCGTGTACGTAAAAGATCCCTTGGCAGTTAGAATTCGATATAAGAGTAGGCCGTAGCGCCGCTGCCCGGGCAAAATTTCCCTCATAGCACACTGTATGGCGTATGCCCGTCTTCATTAGCCCAGGTTAGGAGCAGAACAGTAGGACGTTAAACCCCATTTCATTTCATTTCATTTGATCATAATCAAAGAAATCCGTTTAAAATTTACGGGAGCAGGTCATTTCATCCCACTACCGGTTCACCCCGAGCTGTTTCATCCGGGATTTTTCATCCCAAATTTACACGGGTCCTTTCATCCCACTTATATCGAGTCGTTTCATCCCACAAATTTAAAAACCGATATTACATGAATTTTTAATATTTTATTTATACATTAATACCAATCAATAACAAAATGTCAATGCAAATTTATCATGAATAGTTGGTTTCACTATAACAGGATTGCCAGTGATAGAACAGATCAAAGAATAAAATTGCACGTAGACACTATTTGGACACGTGTTATCTTGAGATGTTCAGACTACCTGGCGCCTCAAATAACCCAACGTTAAAAGAAAGCATGCAATGTCCACCTTACAACAAGTTCCATTGATTTACGATTTATTTTATCATTTATCACACAGTTTAGACCACAATGTGTTACGATTCACATTTTGGTATTCTAAATGAATTCTTATATTTGGAATTGTTTAGTTTCATTTCGTGTACGGAAATTAAATCAACGATTAGTTTTAAAATTAATTATCAATCTAATTTGTCTTATTTAAAAGGGGCTCCTGCGCAATTTAGTTGATTATTTGATAATATGTACAGAGCCCATGATGTATTTTGGCGAGTGATTAAGCTGTCAATATGTAATTATAAAATACCTTTTTATAAAGAAGATAAATGATGTTAGACATCATAAACTAACAAACAATACATACGAGTATACGCTATTACAAAAACATCGGTGAACTAATCTAAAATCATAACGGCAATTAACTAACAATACGAATAAACAATACGAATATACAGCAGTGAACTAATCTCGGTCATGATCGGTAATCAACAAAAATCGACAAGTAAACTTATTCATTCCATACATTATTGTTTATTTAACAATAAGTTAGTGTTTAACAGTTTATTTAACGATAAGTACAACTCAGTTTATTGACTGCTATTATAAAACAAGGGGGATGAAACAGCCTGATAAAAAATTAGGTTTGGAATGAAACAGCCTGGGGTGAAACAGTTGTGGGATGAACTGACCAGCATCCAAAATTTACGATGGTTCAGACAGTAAAGCCAAATCTTATTATGTGAAAACATGACAGTGTCGGTGACAGTCAGCAGGCCTGATGTCACTGTTGATTTTTTTGTTTCGTACTATATATGATTATGTAGCCTAGTACCGTAGTAATAGTATCAGTATTATTTATTTTCATAATGTCAAGATGAAGATGATGTCACATTCCGGCTAAACACATTTAATGCAAAGAGTCTCAGACTTCATGGTTATCATACATCGAGTGACAGAACCATGGGTAGAAATGGTTCCACTACTGATGTCTTCTGCCTTACTCCAGCCACAGTAGTAGCTCGTCCTACACTACAGAGTTCCTTTGCGCAAGTTTTTTAGTCAAATGACTACAAAAAGGTTACTGACCTATAATAGCTCCCTTAATTTACACATAAAGTGACCCAAAACAGTAATGCACATAGCTTAACATATTGATATATATAATAAATCAATTCCCATTGAAATAAAGGTGAAGCCTTACCACATAATTATCGAAGTGGATATTTAACCGTATACGGCAAAGTATCTACTTCCGCTATTTTACCGTACATCGTTTCGGCGCAGAAGCACGATTTTACCGGAAAAACATAAACCACCGACAGTCTTAGTACTTAAATTAAAACCAAAATCCGCAGAAATGCGCCCTCGACCAAAATAGAATAATATTCTAAATGCTTTTCTACAATTTACATTTATTATCTTATTTTCTTTTAAAAATAATTCTCCAGTTTCTACCATAGAAATTCAAGTATGGCTATTTCGTTCCTTTATAAGAAACGGAAAAAGAACCAATGTTAGACAAAGAACGAATAGAACTGTTGGGTTAGGGTTAGATCTAAGGGTTAGGGTTTGGGTTATGGGTTAATGTCAGACGCCAAAGCAAAAACTGCTAAGTCCAGGTATCAAAGAACTTCGCGTGTGTATGTTAAACAGAAGCGTACGGCAAAATAGTAAATAAAGTAAAGTGCCGTTTACGGTTAAATATTCACTGCCCATAATTATATGATTTGATGAAACCCAACTCAACTGCTACCCGAAATTTCAACTGGCCGGTGTCATGGCGGCTCTTGTAATACAAGAAACATCACTTTGCAAATGTAGAACGCATAAACACAAAGAAAAACTGTTCGGTAACTATTTTAGTGGTCCAGTCTTCACTTTTTGTCATAGAATTACTTATTCCAATACAATTGAATACAAATTGTAATGATATGTGTTGACAATTGTGCGATTGAACCTATTTGAACTTGCGTAAGGAGTCTTAGACTGTATTAATTGTAACGTTAAACACACAGTTTAACGTTACAAGTATAGTAACTAAACCATGGGGAAATAGGTCTATGAATTACTATTAAAACTGAATTATTATACCTGACTGAAAATAATTTTTTACAAAAATTTAAATTACTTTTTGGAAAACGCGTGGAAATTATCTCCCCATACAATTCCTGAAACGTCATTTCCGGTTCTTTCGTATATAGCTTCGGTAGCCCAGACATTTATTTACATTAGATGAATGCAATGACTGCAGCAGACTTGAGAAACAAGACTGTGCCACATTTTTTACAAATTGTACGGATTGACTATAAAATGAGGACACACTTTTGCTATGAAATGATTAATGTCGCTGTTGCTACATAAACGCAATAAATATTTATAGGTTTTTACATAATCGAGCAAGGTGTATATTTATTATATCATTTACAGCGATCTATCGATAACGAGCAATGTTTTTCTCACTTCCTATTGTAAGCCTTGGATTTAAATTAAAATGTTATAGTTGATAGTGATATAATAAATATCATACTATTCAAAAAAAGTAGGGGATATTTGATTTTTAAGTGTTATTAAAGTCACCTAATGAAACTGACGAAGAAACAAATGACAAAATGAAATGAAGTTCACATTCATCGATTTATTCCAAATGATCGTTAGACTAAGTAAGGCACAGACTGACCATTATAAGGGTAAAATGATACCCGGGGTCAAACAGCAAAGTTACCACAGCATCACAACCAAGTCAGTAACGGGTAAATCCTCCTCTGTTTGCAAACAAGCATTGATCCGACGTGGCATACTCCTAATGAGACGTCTAAGGTCATTTTGGTCCAGATTGTCCCATTCCTGTTGCAACGCAGCAGCAAGTTCTTGGACATTGGCAGGACGTTGTTGACGTTGACGCAACCTCTGTCCAAGCATGTCCCAGACATGCTCGATGGGGGAGAGGTCGGGACTCAGTGCTGGCCAAGGTAATGTGGTGATGTTCTGTTGTTGGAGGTAACCTGTAACGATCCTGGCCCTGTGACATCTTGCGTTGTCATCCTGGAAGATGAAACGGCGGCCATGACGTCGTGCGAACGGCACAACATGGACTGCCAAGATGTTGTCCCGGTAGTACTGGCCTGTAACACGCCCTGCAACAACATGTAAAGCCGTTCTTCCAGCAACAGTGATGCCTCCCCACACCATAACAGAACCACCCCCAAATCGATCATGTCTGATGACGTTAACGTCTTGGAAGCGCTCGTTTCGACGACGCCACACCCTCCTACGTCTGTCCAAAAAATCAACAGTGGACTTTGACTCATCTGAAAACATCACATTGCTCCAGCGTCGATTATCCCAGTGTTGACGATCCCTACACCAACGACGTCTTGCCTGAATGTGATGATCTCTCAAATAAGGGATCACGCGAGGACGTCGGGCGCGAAGGTGACCCCTATGCAGTCGATTCCGAATCGTCTGGCCACTCACTCTCACACCAGTGTCTGTTTGAAGACGAGCGCTGATCTGATTTGCTGTGATGACACGATTTCTCAAGGCCAAGGTACGGATAAATCGATCCTGGGCTTGAGTTGTCGCCCTTGGTCGACCTGAGCGTGGTCTGCTGTACAGATTGTGTATCACGGTATCTGGACCATAGCCTGCTTATGACAGACTGAGAAACATTCATCGTCCGCGCCACAACCGCCTGTGTTGTGCCGATCTGTAGCATGCCAAGGGCACGTAACCTTTCATTTTGGGTAAGCCGACGCATATCAAAATTTGTTTTCTGGTCACTAAAACAATTAAACTGATGTTTCCACCCTGGAATTCAATGCCACAATGACTGTAACATTCAAAGTCAGAGTCGTGCAAATCTTGGGTTGGACCCCCATGATGATCCCAAGCATCACCTGCATTCCATGCGGTAGCTATTGGTGCGTTTGGGCGTCACATGTAACTGGAAATGTTTCTTCTGTTAGGTTCTATAGTGACTTTTTTCGTAGTCATTTGCATATTTTAGTATTATGCCCCCAAAATCAAATATCCCCTACTTTTTTTGAATAGTATATAATAAGTGAAGAATTGGGATATATTGGCACAACAGGTTTTGAATCTGAATCTGAAAGAATAGTCGTAGATGCCAATTACTGGCTTTTACACGACGGATGGAGTGCGCTAGTTAATGTTTTCTAGTTTAGATTTGATTGACTCTGAGTTCACTGTATCATCACTGAGTTTATTCCAGTCGTATACAGTTCGTACAAAGTATGAGTATTTGAATATGTCACTCTTACTCTTAGCACTAATTGGCTGGAAGCACTTGTTCTTTTCACCACACACTGAGTTTTCTACGATGTTAGTTTTTACATAGTTTTCAAATTGTTTAGCCCGAATAGTTCTCTTAAGTCGCTTAGCCTTGAGGTAGTGGTCAATGTTAATGGCTGGTACGTGCCCTTCAACCACCTTAAATAGGAACGTCAAACGCTGGTGACGGCGTCTCTCCTCAAGTGGTTGCAGTTCCATTTCCTTAGTGACGCATCCTTCCTGTCTGGATTTATAGTCGCCCGTTATAAATCGTGCTGCTGATCTTTGGATTCTCTCCAAGCGGTCGATGTCTCCTTTCAAGTAGGGGCCCCAGTCGACGCTTCCGTACTCAAGTTTGGATCGGACTAGTGCAATATAAGCGTTCTTCCTGCATGGCTTAGGACAGTGTCTTAGGTTCCTGTTGAGAAATCCTAGTGTTGCGAGTTGGCTTTTTTTGAAAATGTTGTTGATGTGCGTTTTTCATTTAAGGTCATCGGATAAGGTAATTCCAAGGTAAGGGTTGTTCTGGACTTGTTGAAGTATGTTGTTATTGATGTTGTAAAAGAAATTGGATTTGCTTTTGGTGCTGAGAATATAGCATTTCTTGGCGTTAAATTTCATGCCCCATTCGTCAGCCCATTCTTGGAGGTTATCTAGGTCCTTTTAGAGTTGTATATGGTCTGTCATTGAGTTGATGGCACGATATATCAGACAGTCATCGCCAAAAAGACGAATATGGGATTTCACTCTATCTGCGAGGTCATTGATATGGCAGAGGAATAGTAGAGGCCCGAGTACTGTGCCTTGTGGGACGCTGGAGGCTACGTCAACCTGCCAGATCGCTCACCTTCAACTATATATGACGCTCATCTTCCGCTGCGTAAGAAAGTTTGTGATCCACTTGAGCGTTGGTCCTCGTATTCAATAGGACTCGATCTTGTGGAGAAGTTTGTTGTGAGGCACAGTGTCAAACGCCTTGCGGAAGTCCAGTATCGCTGTGTCGACTTGTTTGTTCTTGTCGTAGTAATTGTGTAGATCATGTGCTATTACAACTAGTTGTGTTTCACAAGAGTATAGCCAGAGCGGAAGCCATGATTTAAAGATGTGAGTACCTTGTGTTTGTCTAGGTGATTCAACATTTGATGGCAAATGATGTGCTCTAGCAGTTTGGATAGGACACATGTCAGTGATACTGGACGGTAGTTCTCTGGTGCATGGCGATCCCCTTTTTTGAAGACTGGGGCAACGTTTGCATCTCTCCAATCTCTGGGCAAATCACCAGAGTCGACCGACTTCTGGAAGATACAGGTGATGGCAGGTGTTGCTTCTACTGCACAGGCTTGGAGAACTCTGTTGGGTAACTCAAATGGGCCTGAGGCTTTGCTGACATATGTTGCGTTGTAGTTTCACAATGCCTCCCTCTCCTATATTGATGGGTGGTATGTCTTCAACAACTCTCCTTTGTACTTTGGGTAGTTGATCTCCCTTGTCTTTGGTGAAAACTGACTGGAATTGGTTTACAAGTGTCTCTGCCTTGGCACTGCAGTCGCTGATAAGTGTGCCGTGTTTACTACGTAGTGGTGCTACCCCAACACTGTCTTCTGTTTTTGAACTTAACGTAGTTCCAAAATGGTTTGAAATTGTTGTTTTGTAGACCCTGGTTTATGACGGAGTTGATGTGTGACCATTCTGCCTTCCTGAGCTCGCGTTTACTTTCCTTTTGAAATCTCCTGTACTGGGTCCAGTCATTGGTTTTTCTAGCTATTTTATAAATTCTGGCCTTGCGTCTAAGGACGCGTTTTACTTTCCTTGTTATCCATGGTGGAGAGTTACTTGATGTTTTCATTTTGGATGGAATGTTCTTGTTGATGGCTGATTGTAGGTTTTCCTTGAATGTATCCCATAAGGTGTGGACAGATGAACCGTTTACATAAAGTTGGCTTATTTCCTGGATTTCCGTTGGTCAAATTTACCCAATCTCCATCATCTACGAACATAAGTTTTTATTCGATGAACGTCACTGTGAATGGAAGCGCGGATAAACAATGTCTGAATTATAGTAAGGATTGTTCACGGGCACCTTGTTAACTTTTGAAAACCATTATTGCCTATGCGCACAACACGTGGTAGAAAAGAAACCCCATCTCCCAACCCTCCGTGTTTCGAGATAAGAGATGGTGCTATATTAATATAGTTACTTCTTGCAAATCCCAACGCTAATCACATTGGGTTTCAAATAAGCAAAATTGACAATTGTTTCCTCGAAACAACGATTGATTATTGTTATTTATAATATTTCTGCCACATCCAACTACAATTAAGCATAAAATCATACCTGACACGGGTACAAATCCCTTCTTTTTAAATCGAAGCGATAATAGATTGCTTTCTCCGACATTTTAGATTTGACGTCTTTAACACATAAAGGCGGGGCCTCGTGTACAATAGCCAATCAAAGTACTAACCCGAATTGAGTTGCGCAGGAGTAATATACCGTAATTATGATGTCCGTTATCAATTTTGATAAAAAAAACCCCAAACAACGCTTGACTTACTTTATTGACAATATTTGATGATAAATGAAAGTTGTTACAGTAGATTGGGCTGCGTATGTGTAATAAGTTCTAATAGTATAAAATTTACTCATTTTTAAGATGTTAGCCTACATGCATTAATAAAGAAATTAAGTTTGCCAGGTGAAACTAAAGCCAGTAAAGGCACCCAGTCGTAGCTAGACACGTGGGTACACTTAAAACGTCTGCATCTGTTAAAGTTTATGTGCTATCTAATTAAATTAAAAACATCCGATATAACTGTTCCGTTTAATTCGGCAAATTGATTTTTTTACCCAACGCTGTAATTGTTCTTTAACAGGTAAGAATCCACTCGAAAATCATTGCCACCACATTGTATGAGCTCGCTTCAGTGCGAACAGATCCGGATAAAGTGATTATTTCTGAAATAGCGGAATTAGCAAAATCGATTTTTTGAGCATTGTTTTTTTTTTTTTTTTTTTTTCAAGGCTTACTTTAGCACTTTTAGCAATTGGAAAGTAGTTGCAGGCCTTTTTTATTTTTTTAGGGAAAAGCATCCACTGCCTTGTGTACGACATTCCCTTTAATATATATTCTCAGTTATGGCAGTCGTCATTCTGATTTATAGATATGACAATATTGAGACCTTTATAATCAAACCTAAGCATTGTAATCATAGTCCTGTGCCTATTAACAAAAGGTGAACCCCAACAGCCCCCGTACTATAATTGTTTTAAGCTGCTTGTGCGCTCGTAAGAATAACCAGACGCGTAGAAGTGTTTTAGTACGACGTCAAACACGCCACGGTTTCAGAAATTAAGGCCACTTTTGTCCATTTTTGGTGATTTCAATGGGTAGGTTCACATAGTCTGGTACGAAGACAATAATAACACTACACTTGCATTTAGGAGGCATGACACGAATCAATATGTCCCACACAACCCTGTGTATGGCATATCACTGGTTTTGGCTTGGTATGCCCGGGTGTTGGCGCCTTCTTACTGACATCAATAAATACAAAAATATGACTATGTCGAAAGTCGACAAGACGGTATACAAGCCAAAATGCAAGTCGAAAATAAGAAATTAGGAAAAAACGAGGGGCGCTATTATCGCTGTATGTTATTTCTTAATTTCATATTTTCGAGTTGATTTTGGCTTGTATAGCGTGTTGTCGCCCCACATTTTGTCGTAACTTCTACTTTTCGACTTTTCGCGTTCTGAAGAGGGGAAAAGTAGTAATTATGAATGGTAGTTTATACTATAGGCTTCTATAGTGTACCATGCAGTTGTGTAATAAAGCATTATTATTATTATTATTATTACACGAGTTATCTCCCTTCACGCGAGAGTGAAACACCGATTTGGGCACAAAGCCGCGATCGAGGCTTCTTAAATTTAACTAAATTGTTATTTTGTCTTTCCAAAGTCAACATTTTGGAGTTATTGGGTGTCATTTTGGAGTTATTGGGCATTTATTGGATGTTATTGGCAGTTATTGGGTAATTCGACGTGCCCCAAATATGTACACGGAAATCCCATTGGAGATTTATTAGGGATTAAGAGAGGCGAGTCTGCCTCGTCAGGTCTAATACTATTGCATTCATTAAGCATCAACTAAATTTCATATAGCCACCCCGCTCGCTCCACAATACCCTGTTTGGAAATCTCATCGGATTTGAGCGTTTTCAACCATTTCCAGTTTCTTTTTTTTTTTGCATTTCTGAGAGCACGCCTCTGCAATGAGATTTTTTGCTTAGGTTACACAGAGTGATGAACAATTTCAATGCTAGATGCTTTATAAATATGTTAGGTGTGCAAGTAATTATTGAGTGTCATCTATTTAGGGACACCAGATGACACTAGATTAGCATGTCCAAAAAGTAGGCGTTGTAGCAGCGGTCACCGGTTATATCTGTTGTAATGGACCGTCTGCTAGTGCTAGTCTTTCTTACCTTACAGACCATGTAAAGACAACGGCGCGCAAAATTTAATTTTGGCACCTCGGACCGTCTAGACCTTAATAGGAGCGGTATTGGGGTTGTATTGGGTAGTATTGGTAGTATTGGGTCAATCTTCCCGCCGCTTTGGGGTAGCTCAATTTCAGACAACTTTTGATATGTTGTTGTCTAGACCATATACATATACTACAGGAAACAGCCATAAAACGTTTTCTTGCAATTTTTTTGAGGTTGGCCCATTTTTTTTTCATAACTTTGACCCTACTAATAGTTTTTTTTTCCTTTAGTCATTTTACATCGTAATAGGCGACTTAAATAAATGTGATTTTTGTCTTCGTGTGTTACTGTGGTGTGGACTAAAGTTCCCGATAATCCAGGATGATTTATTCGTACTAAGTATGCCAATTGTTTATTATTGTTTAACCCGCCAAAGTGATGTCAGCAATCCATATCTCGTCCGTAGAACGTGTGTCTGACGTCAGCTGGTGTGGAACGGAGTCACTAGGCTAATGCTAAAACTGTAACTTGGTGGTTTCGTTTTTAAAAATCTGATGCCTGATACTGTCTATAATGTGATTTAAAAGTAGGTGTTTGCTTTCAGAAAACAGTCCAGAAGAGGGTACAGTATATAGGTAAAGCTGGCTTACCAAAATGAGCGTGGACACGTACGGACCGAATTCGCAAACCCTCACGTTTTTGGACACCGAGGAAACCGAACTTCTTGGAGCTGACACGCAAGGTTCAGATTTTGATTTTACTGACTTTACACTACCCTCACAAACCCTGTCGCAGAGTCAGCAATCTCAGCTAGATGGTGGTCCAAGTCAGGTAATATACATATGTTTCTACTAAATATTAGAATTCCTCTTGACACACACTTGCCAACAGTACAACGTGTAGATTTATCAATATTAATATCATAGGGTATGTTGAGTACAGATTTCACCTCACGAACAAATTATCCCTCACGCATGCACGAATCTCTGTCTAATTTCCGTTCACTAATCCGCGCACAGAGTTAAGTCTGCCCAAGCCAAGGTAGGATTAGTGCGATGATAAATCGCCTAATCCTACTCCGTATTCACCATGGATCACTGCGTTGTTTTTATTCGTTTAAATGAATTTTTTGACTGTCATTTTGATTTACTGCTAAAAGTATGATCAAACAGTTAATTACCTTAAAGGACAATATTGGTGTCAGTCATTATCACATGTGATAGAACTAATTAAACACGTTCCAAATATAATTTTAACACAGAGATCATTGCTACGAGTACGATAGCTGAGTAATACAGGTTTCCTGAATCGGAAGTGACGAACGCCAAAGGAAAACACAAGTCATTCCTCTATATAACTGACTGAAAGTGACGAGTTCTTCTCACTATAATTCCTTCCAAGACCAAAAGTTGTTGTGTGAGACTTTGAGAGGATATCTGAAAATTCATAAAAAGAATTGACTGCCACTACGGCACTAGAAAAGAGAACACGAAAGGAAAACAGAAAAAGTCGGCAGTGACTAAATACCACGCTCGTCCCTATTAGTATTACTTCTATACTAATGTAACGTGGTACGAGATTTTGGTACCACATACTTTATAATTTTGGTGATTTTACCTTATTAAAAGCTAATTTTGCAAATTACATTAATTATTTAATGAATTTCGATGTTTTATACTATTTATAGATGATATTTACACTTAATGTTTATAATCTAATTCAGACAGTAGATCGGTTGGTTAAAATAATCGCCATTTAGGTATGGTGTAAAATTTATTGTAACCCATTTAAAAAGACCCTACGTGGTATATTGGAATACTGGGTAGATTATGAAACAAACCGTAGCAGATAAAAACGTGGTACAATAAAATAGGATGATACGAAAGTGCAATGAGTTGAAAAGTAAAAAAAACCCGTGGTACAGTAGAATCCAAGGCTGAGATAACAGTACCATGTTCGCTTACTGCTTCTATACAAACGAAACCTGGTACGTGACTTTAGCAAATTATGTTGATTATTTAATCCATTTTGATGTTTTTATAGGCTATTATACTTCACCCCATTTAAAAAGACCATACATGGTATATTGGGTAGATATGAAACAAAATATGGCAGGTAAAAAAGGTGTATTATAAAATATGTGGATGATACAAGAGTACCGTGAGTTAATAGTTAATAAAAAAAACGTGGTACGCGACTTCGGTACAAAAAAACGTGGTAGGCTATAATAGAATCCTAGATTGAGATAACCGTACCACGCCCGCCTTACTTCTATGCAACGGAAATGTGGTATGCTCGCCTTACTGGTATAATAGAATCCAGAGCTGAGATAACCGTACTACGCTTGCCTTACTGGTTTTATACAAACGGGACGTGGCACGCGACTTCGGTACAAAAAACGTGGTATAATAGAATCCTAGATTGAGATAACCGTACCACGCTGGGCTTACTTCTGGGCTTACTTCTAGGCAACGGAAACGTGGTATGCTCGCCTTACTGATATAATAGAATACGAGACTGAGATAATCGTACCACGCTCGCCCTACTTCTGTGCAACGGAAACGTGGTATGCTCGCCTTACTGGTATAATAGAATTCAGAGCTGAGATAACCGTACCACGCTCGCTTTACTGGTTTTATACAAACGGAACGTGATGCGCGACTTCGGTACTAAAAACGTGGTATAAAAGAATACGAGACTGAGATAATGATAATCGTACCACGCTCGCCTTACTGGTTCTATACAAACTGAACGTGGTACGCGACTTCGGTACAAAAAAGGGGTATACTAGAATTCAATACTGATCCAGATAACCGTACCAAGCCCGCCTTACTGCTTCTATAAACTAAAACGTGGTATACTCGCCTTACTGCTTCAATACAAATGAAACGTGGTACGCAGCTTTGGTACCACGTGCTTTTAATTATAGAGATTTTGCATTATTTGAAGATTTTGCAAATTGTGTTGATTTTTTAATCCATTTTGATGTTTTTTATAGGCCATATTTACACTTTATGTTAGAATAAATTACATGGCAGATAGTCGATTGTTCAGTTAATAATCATACGGTTAATAATACTTGTACTGTGTAAAAGTTATTGTACTATACCCTACTTAAATACCGCTCTTGTTGTAACTGAATAATATGTCCCAATCTTTATTCTGGTCAACAAATTGTACTATTTTACAATATTCCAATTAATTGATGATACAAATTTCATCTTAACACACCTAATTTAAAAAACTTGAAAAATTCAACTAAATGATTTGAAAAGCCTGACGTAAAGCTTTTCAAATGTGACTTGGATTTAAAAAGATTTTTGAACCCTCTGGACAAGTAAAATAGGATTTAATGGATAATTTACACAACAGGTAGGACACTAACACATCTAGTACTTAGAATAAGGCTATTTTTTTATTTTCTGGAGCTGTCAAGCCAGCAAGAGTGTTATTGGTCCTTTAAACAGACCCTAAGTGGTATATTGGGCTATTGGCTCGATATTAATTTATGAAACAAAACGTGGCAGGTAAAAACGTGGAATAATAAAATATGAAGATGATATGAAAGTGCAATGAGTCGATAAGTAAAAAAAACGTACAATAGAATCCGAAGCTGAGATAAGAGTACCACGCTCGCCCTACTACTTCTAAAGTTACAAACGAAACGTGGTACGCGAAATGGCTTATTTTGCAGACTATGTTGATTATTTAACCCATTTTGATGTTTTTATAGGCCATGTACTGTACCCCATTTAAAAAAGGGTAAACGTGGTATAAAACAATATAAGGATTACAACAATCGGACGTTAAATAAAGCTATTTCACAAACACATCACAAACTCGCGGGTTGAAATGGTTAAGCTACTTCGGAAGAGTGCCTTTAGGAAAAAGGCGGCATTCAACAACCAGTTTCCTACCGAATTTTAAGTCCCTTTTCAGTCGAAATTCATGTCAAAGTGTCATGGCCATAATAGGATCAAATCGTTTTACAGGTCACAAGTTGACAAATTGTAGGCTAAAGTTATCTCAGCCTCGAATTAAAAGGCACGTGGTACCAAAGCCGCGTACCACGTTTCCGTTGTATACAAGCAGTAAGGCGAGCGTGGTAGGGTAGCTCGGATTGTATTATACCACTTTTTTTAACTATCAACTCATGGTACTCTCGTATCATCCACATATTTTTATACCCCGTTTTTACCTGCCACGTTTTGTTTCATATATACCCAATCTACCATGAGTTGATAATTAAAAAAAAGTTGTATAATCAGGGGCTGAGATAATCGTAGGACGCCCGTCTTACTGGTTCTATACAAACGGAACGTGGTACGCGACTTCAGTACAAAAAACGTGGTAACCGCGAGTATACCACGTTTCAGTTGTATAGAAGCAGTAAGGCGGGTGTGGTACGGTTATCTCGATCAGTATCGAATTCTATATTATTATGGTTTTTGTACCGATGTCGCGTACCACGTTCCATTTGTATAGAACCAGTAAGGCGAGCGTGGTATGATTATCTCACCCCCGGATTCTATTGTACCACCATTTTTTCAACTTTTAACTCATGGTACTCTCGTATTATCCACATATTTTATCATACCCCCTTTTCACCTGCCACGTTTTGTTTCATATGTACCCAATATACCACGTAGGACCTTTTAAAATGTGGTACAGTGTGTGGCCTGTAAAGACTAAAAGACATCAAAATGGATTAAATAATCAACATAATTTGCAAAATAAGCGAAGTCGCGTACCACGTTTCGTTTGCATAGAAGTAGTAAGGCGGGCATGGTATTGTTATCTCAGCCTCGGAGACACTTGTAGCCTACCGCGTTTTTTTTTTACTAATCAACTCATTGTACTTTCGCATCATCCTCATATTTTATTATACCACGGTTATCTCGATCAGTATCGAAGTCTATATATTAACGTGGTAGGCTACAATAGTATCCGAGGCTGAGATAACGATACCATGCCCGCCTTACTACTTCTATGCAAACGGAACGTGGTAAGCGACTTTGGCTTATTTTGCAAATTATGTTGATTATTTAATCCATTTTGATGTCTTTTAATCTTTACAGGCCACACACTGTACAAGATTTTAAAAGGTCCTACGTGGTATATTGGGTAGATATGAAACAAAACGTGGCACGTGAAAAGGGTGTATGATAAAATATGTGGATAAAACATTTCCCTCACAATACACTGTATAACGTATGCCAGTCTTCATTAGCTAAGTCGTCGGAGCAGAACAGTAGGAAGTTAAACTAAACCCCATTTCATTTCATTTCCAATATACCACGTAAGGTCTTTTTAAGCAGGGTATAGTATAATAACTTTTACACAGTATTATTAACCGTATGATCATTAACCGACCGATCGGTTATCTGTATTGTAATTAATTGTAACATAAAGTGTAAATATGGCATATAAAAACATGAAAATGGGATAAATAATCAACACAATTTGCAAATTTTGCTACAAATAATGTAAAGTGCCTATAAATAAAAAAGACGTGATACCGAAGTCGCGACCACGTTCCGTTTGTATCTATAGCACAAGTAGCGTGGTACGGCTCTCGCAGCCCCGGATTCTATTACATCATTTTTATACGTCCACATTTTCATGTGGACGGATTATGCCGTCGCCCCTGTCCGTCTGGACGTCTGTCTGTCTGTCCGTCCGTCCACAATTTGTTTGTGGACACTCTACAGGTCACGATTGTTATCCGATTTTAACGAAACTTGAAATATAGGTGTATCTCCAAAAGATCTCGGCTGGTTTCGATATTGGCATGTATCGGATCGAAACTTCATGGATTATGGCCCCTGTTT